GATGTATATTTCCGTACCCCTCTCTCTCATTAGGTACACGTCCACGTCCGACGCGCTTATTGTAGACGCTGATTTAGTGTACTTCGTATCGTGCTCCGTATCCGTATCTGACGGAAGCTTTGACGATGCTTATTTGTTTTGATTGCAAACCCAGTATAATTATTTTATTGTTATTACCGTGTTTTTGGGCTAGTTTCACAAACTTTGATTAAAAGTTAATCTGAGTTGAAGAAACTGGTAATTAATAAGTGAAATGACATCAAATGTAACAAAATAATTTAATAAAAATTAATTTATAAGCATAAATAGATTTTTATAGGTACTGGTAAACATTATCGATAGAATATTATTTCAGGGTGTCTACTAGTCCTGGAAATCCTGAAATTTGAAAAAATGTCCTGGAATTTTAATTTTTGTCCTTGAATTTTTTATATTTTGCTTTTAAATTTTCAAAAATTTATAATTTTGTCAATCAAGTTAAAAAAATTAATTAAATAAGTAAAATGAAAATTTACATAAGTTACGTAATGTAATTTTTATGAGCATGCTACGAAGTACACTACGAGGCACGCATCGAAGCACCCTACGAGGCACGCACGAGTGGGTCGATTCAATCTGTAACGAGCGACTACCCTGCCGGAAGGGTGGTACTGGATTGGTACTGGAAAATTGGAACTGAGGGCTCAGTACCAACTCAGTACAGTCGAATCTCCCATAAGTTAATTCTGGTGGGGGGTTAACTTATGAGAGAATTGCCGCGTAAGGAGAAATAGTTGCGCAGTGACCTATTGCGCATGGCGGTCAATTTCAAAATATATGTTTGAAGTCTTGTGAAGTAAATGAGTTATTAGAAATGTTTGAATATTTAATTTAATATAAGTTTAGTTGACTGTGAAAAACATTGTCGGTACATACTTGTATTATTCTTTTAACTACTTTTATTAATTTTATAAATCATGGACGGAATTTTATTCATAATAAAATATTATTTGAGTTAATTGGAAATATTATTAAGGAATTAATATTCGTAAATGATGCAGCTACATCAGTGAAACAATTATTTAATAATTAAATTAAATTAAAAAAAAAAACAAAATTCAATTAAATTAAAAGAAAATTCTTTTAAACATGAATCGAATGTTTTTATTCTAGGTAGTGGTACAAGATGTTAATTACACGTTTTAGAAGAACATTGTTAAACATCGTAGACATACATGTTAACTTGAGAACTAAAAATAACATAAATTGAATTCAATTTTTATTATAATTATAATTCAAATAAACTGTATTTTTAAATTCAAATAACGAAAATATATATTTTAACTTACTATTTAAAAATAAAATAGAATATTGAGATTTTTTGCATTAGTATTTTTTTAAAATTAAAAATCTTTTTTGCCAGTTTGTCAAATTCAACATATTTGTGTACATTAAAAGTAGTCAGTCTCGTGGAGTCTTAAAAGTACATAAAACTTTAATTTTTAACAAGTTATCTTATTGTTTTTAATTTTATAAAAACCTTGATTTTTTATTTTGAGGTTCTAGAATAAGATCACAGTTATTGTTGAGATCAGGACTATCACAATGCTCCTTCTGTAATTCTTTTAAAGAAATATCCTCCCATTTACGAAAAAATTTTTAAATTAGTATTTTTTTTAATTAAATCTTTTTTGACAGTTTGTCAAATTCAACATATTTGTGTACATTTAAAATAGGGTCCCTACCGAAAGAGAGGTACTGGAATGGTACTGAATTGGACTTGGCTTGAGTTCCACTTCAGTACCACTACCTGATAACCCATAAGAAGACATTTTTAAAGTACTTTAACAATAGTTTTAAAGGTATGTTAGAACAGCAAAACGTCTCTCACGATATCCGTGTAAAACAGCAAAAAAAACATAATAGTTTGTAGAAAATTTCAGTTAAGTTTGGAAATTATATTGCAATCCCTCCTTGAACAATAGACTCCCAGGTCCTTTGTTGAAGGATTACAATTTTAACCCGAGTTTTATTGCTTAAAAAATTTGTAATTTTAACAACTCAACTTTAAAAAATATATATTGAGATTCGTTAATATTTCTAGATTATGAATATCTAAAATTTATCATAAAATAATTACATTTAAAAAAGTTATAATTTATCTCGTATACACTGTTAGAAATATCCCATGAAAATTCAACAACTTGTACGTAAAGCTATTATCAATTCCTGCTATTGAATTTTCAGTAACACGAAATTGTAAATTCAAATACATATGTAATTGAAAATTTAATAACTTAGATTTGAAACTTGAGTAACATGAAATTGAAAATTCAATAACACAAATTTGAAATTTCAGTAACACGAAATTAAAAATTCAACAACACAGAACTGAAAATTCAACAACACAGAACTGAAAATTCAGCAACACAGAATTGAAATTTCAAGAACACAGCTTTTAAATTTTAGTAACTCGAAGTTGAAAATTCAATAACATGAAACTGAATATTCAGCAACTTAGGATTGAAAATCCAATACAAAAGATTTGAAATTTCAATAATAACCCTGCTAAAAATAAAATCAGAAATCAGTCTCAAAACGTCAGAAATCCTGACGTTTTGAGACTATTTTGATGTTTTGTGATGCTGCTGACTAATTCTGACTTAAATAGTTTTTATGGGCCTGACGTTTTCTAAAAAGTGACTATTTCTCACTACGTTTCATTTTTTTTGTAAAAAGGGTTCCAAGAGAGGTACCAAGGCCACTCAAACCCACCATATAACTCTATTATATTATATATTCCCTTTTTCCAATAGAAGGGTCCTTTCGAGGGTCCATCAGGTTTTATGACTTTTTAATGCAAAATAAAAAATTATTTAAATTTAAATAAATATTTTTTTAAATGTTATATTTGTAATTTATAGATTTTAACGATTCCAATGATATAAAACATTATGTAAAAACTCTAAAATTACATAATGATTATACAATAAATACTCCATTAATTAAAATTAATTCTCAATAATTTAAAAATATTTGCAAAAAATTTTATATCGTTGTAATTGTATTAACATGTACATTACGAATATAATATTTAAAAATTATTTTTTTCACATGCAACAATTTTTAATTTTGCAATGAAAAGCCATAAAACCATAAAAGATCCTTTAGGCCTATACTTTTCTTTTTGTCCTTTTCTAACGTACATATAATATATATGGAATCACGTTTGTAAGACAAGGACAGAAAAGGGACATTTAGTTATAAGAGAGCAACATATGTTGAAAACCTATTCTTACCACTGTGTTAACTCTATTATTGTATATATATATATATATATATATATTTGAAAAAAATTAGAAATCGCTGGCTATTTCACATAAAAGTTTATTTTTTTACAACTAGATGAGCAAAAACATTCTGGTCTCTTGTACTCTCTAAATTTGAATCAGCGGAAAATCGCTGATTGGGCAGCTATAAGTATGCAGCTGATTCAAACAGCGTATATACATTGATAATTAGCGCATATACACTATTTCATCAGTGTATATACGCTGTTTGAATCAGCTGCATACTTATAGCTGCAAATTAGCGACGTTTCGCTGATTCAAATTTAGAGAGTAAAATAGAATATATGAATTGATCGCTCAATCAATCTCTGAGCGAATTTGATCCAGTTTTCACTAAATATAAATTTGATTTGAACCAAATATTCCATCTAATTATAGTGCAGTATGCTAAAAAGAGAAATTAAAATTAGTAATTATTTAGTTGATTTGTGGAAGAATTATGTTAAATTGAATTTTAATAATATAGTAATTAATATATGCATATTAATTAATTCTTATCATTATAATTAATTATAATAGTAATGAATGTGCTAAAACGTGAGCGAAAAACCTGATAAAATTCGCTCAGAGTTTACTAGAGACAATTCGACAGTATCTTATTATTCTAGACTATTTTATTTGTATATTACACATATTCTTTTAAGTTCGAATTCAAATAATATTTACATACGAATTTTTTGTTTAATTAAATATTTGCTGAAGCAAATTTTATTAATTGAATACATTAATATATGATAATTGGACTACAAATGTTTTTTGATCAATATAACAATATACCTATTTTAACTTTACTTGTTAATTTTTAAAAATTATAAAATTTTTTTAAAATAATAATAATAATCATCAACAAAATATGTTGATAAAATTGAAAAAAAGTAATAAGAAATTCTATTTTCATAAAACCGTATTCTATTTTTAAGATCTCAGTTAGGTTAGTTTAGCTCAGGGGTTAGGTATTCGGTTTGCGTTCGTTAGGTTGTGAGTTCGATTCCCTGCGTTTGCGAGATTTTCTTCGATAGGAGTAAATAAATATAATAAATTGTAAAAATAATAATTAAGTATGTGTAACGTAAAGATAAAAAAATGTTGTGCGATAATTTATTTCTTTAATGATAAAATATTGATTTTTTTTAATTTTTAAATATTTGTAGTCAGAATTCATGAGAAGTAAGTCAGGAATCTTCAAAACTATTTTATAGAAAGAAATGTCATTTAACATCACAAATAGTCACAGGGTTTAATGATTTATGGTATGGCCAAAAAAAGGGTCTCCGACCCTCATAAAAAATCTGACTACTATTGACAATTCTTTGACTAAACCTCACTTATTGTGGTGTTCTGTGACTGCAATCGTAACAAAAACAGTCTCAAAACGTCAGAGATCCTGACTAATTTTTTGACGTTCTGTGATTTTATTTTTAGCAGGGAATATATAAAATTCAATAACGCAGTATTAAAAATTCAAAAATACTTAGTTGAAAATTCTGTTTATTTTATTTAAACAATTTAGATACATCTATATATTAGAAAACAACATTTTATTAACAAAAGTTCTCTTATACTTCTATTATATAAAGTTATTCTATATTTTTTACGGCTATAATTTTATATTAAAAAATAGAATAATTCTTATTTTAGTTTAAATAAAATTTTAAGTGAAGCCACAATTTTATCTGTAAGTCCAAGTTCGTCTGGTTACTCTATTTCGAAAATAAAAAAAGACAAGTTTTATAAGCTTAATGTATAACGAAAAAAATTTAAATTTATTAATACTAGCGTGAAATTAGATAGCCATTTTTGTACAAAGAGATGTAAAAAATAATAATATAGATATATACTTTAATATATATATAAAGATGAGTTTACATGTTAACATATAAATTATATTTACATTTATACGATTTCTCATATTAATATGTAATTGACTTTTTGGTTTTTTGCCCAGGAATATTAAACTTTAAACTTATTTGTAAAGTTATTTAATTCTTCTCCTAATTTTTTTACCGATATTTCCAAGTTTGACACCCTTCTCTTAGCACCAAAAGCTCTCTTATCTCCTTTTTTCGTCTTGCGGGTTGATTTTGAACATAATTCTAAAATAAAAGAAAATTATTTTAATGTGGTTTACGAAATCATGTCTACAATATTTGAGTTTTGTGTACATATCTTAGAATCAAAGTTAATGAAAATTTATATTACCTCTGAATAAATTCTAGTGTTTTGGATAAGTTTGTAGGGTAAGAATATCCAAAACAATAATACGAAACAAAAGTAATATATAATCCTTCCAACACATCTATTGTTTCTATCATATTTTGTTTTTCTATGCATACATAGCATTTCGCTGATTCGTCGTACAAGCACTTTCCTGTAATCAAAAAATAGTATGGTTTATAATATAATCTCCATATTTATACTTGTAATATAATATAATATTTTATAGTAATGTGTGATAGATACCTTTAACAACTAATATAGGAGTTGGTGGAATCGACGATTTTATCGTATCATCTTTTTCTGCAATCTATAACAAAAAATATTAGAACTTTTTTAAATTATTAAAAATATTTTTTTTAAAAAAAAAAGTGTTCCTTTGGTGAAAACTTTTTTGCCAAACAACTCTAATAGTAGTGTAAAATATTATTCTACTTCTATTAATATTTTTTAACTTACGTCAAAAACTCTGAAGAGTAGATCCTGGTCTTCAGAAAAATGAGCAACTAATAATGGAAACATTACTATAGTATTCGGTAGTTTGCTCTTTAAAACTACGGACATAGATTTTGCTTCCTCTATGTATTGTTTCATCTTTTCAACTTTTTCTGCATTTTGTTTTGCAGTTTTTGAAGAGCTTGATCTAAAATTCAAGACAAGATTTTGACATTGGAATTTAAAAAACTTTCGTACATGTTCTGACATTTCAGTATGAGATTGACACCATTGTTGATACATTTTAATACCCATTAAAAAATCTATATGAATATTAAGAAACTGAGGTTCGCTTAAGAAAGGCCATCGATCAAAAATTTCACGCAAATTTCGCTTTTTTATGTTTATTTCAGCTGTTTGAAGCGCATAAGTTTTTTAATTAAAACTGAAATTTGTGTGTAATTTGCTTCCTCATATCTGTTTTTCCACTCCTGAATTAAATTTTCTCTCAGTATATTTAAAGATTCTGAAGTTTCACCTTCATGTAATATGGGTGCATATGACACAAATGACAGAGTCTAATCAAATGAAAATTCGCTTTTTTAGCCTTTCTATTAAATAATAATTTTTGTAAATAAAAATTCGAACAAATAGAGAATGCTTATCAAAATCCGCATCCAACGAGCCCTATATGAACTATTTCTAATAAACAGGTGTTAAATTAATAATTAATAATAAAAATTATTTAAATAATTAATAACATTTGAAGAAATAAAAATAAATCTTCAATTCTTTTTTTATTTGGAAGACCATCTAATTCTGTGTCAAAAAAAGAATATTAAGTATTACCAAGAATCAAAAATTAATTATAAAATGTTATTTAGAAAAAGACTGAAAAATACCATGCCGAGTAGGTAGGCAGCCCCCTCCAACTTGTGTCGTAGGGTGCTGAAACCTCAATTTTCAATAATCATCTGTTAATAATTTAGATTTGTTAAAAATGTTATTTATACTGGTTTTATTTAACACAGAATAAGATGATCTTCCAAATAAAAAAAGAATTGACGATTTATCTTCATTTCTTCAAATGTTATTAATTATTTAAATAAATTTTATTATTAATTATGAATTTAACACCCGTTTATTAGAAATAGTTCATATTGGGCTCGTTGGATGCGGATTTTGATAAGCATTCTAATGGTGTTTTTAAAATTACTCTAATTTTATTTGTTCGTAAAATATTTCATTTTTTATTAACTTTTGTTAGTTAATTAATTAATATCTCGAAAACAAAAAATAATGCCATCTCAAAAATTTAACCATCGATTTATTATGACTTAAACAATATTCATGATTTTTTTCGCACTTCTAAATGAGGGAGAACATGTTTAAAAGTTATAAACAAATTTTATTTTTTAAACAAATTGTTTAAAAATTAATATTTTTTTAAAAAAATAATTTTTTTCTAAAAGTTTAAGTTCTTCTGCATAAAAAACATTTACAACATTTTTCTCTATTTTTAGTAGGAAAAATTTATAAGTAAATTAAAAAAATATTGCTCAAATTTGTTATTGTAAATATCTCGAAAAATTTCAAATTCAAAATTTGTACACTTATTTAGCACCACTATCAAACAAACCACTTTTGTAAGTTGTTATAATAAGCTGAGAGATATAATAGGTACTGAGGGTACAACAGCGCATTGTCTACATACTTTGTTGTGATGTTGGTCCTCAGGTAGTGTTCTAAAGACAGTAAATTACGTCAAGAAGAGAAAGAAGATTACGGTAATTTACCGGTAAATTACCGGATCGTTTTTTCTCTGAGAATTTATGAGAATTTTTACTTGTACTTTTATCCTTTGCTGACACGTGCGTTGTCATGACAACGTGTATGACGAGGTACAGACATATGTTCCTGACTGTATAATTATTATTATAATGAAAAATATCTTTGTTACAATATATAATATATATATTAATATATTAATATTGATATAATATTACATTATTATATTGAATCAGGTACATTTATATGCCTGCACTTTTATCCTTGTCTAACACACATGTTGTCATGACGACGCACGTGTTAGACAATGATAAAAGTGCAGGCATATATACCCGACTGTCATCTTGTCAGTAAGAACACAGAGAAAATTAGGGTGCAGTCCCATGGAGCAGATTAGCAGATTAGACGTTGACCAATAAAAAAACAGTCTCTAACGGAAATGCAAAATTTGCCGCGAGAGACTAACTTTTGATTGGCTGAAATCTATTCTGCTAATCTGCTCCATGGGACTGCACCCTTACAGTCTATTATATTCATTGTTCAAATTATTCATTTAATAACATGTCGGTCGTTTATTTATAACTTACATACTATAAAAATACATATTTAAATTTAAACCCTGTTGAAAATTCCTATGTGAGAACTCATACAAGATCTCGGATAAGATCCCATGTGTGTTCCTATTTATCGTGTTGTTCATATAGGAACCTACACAGGAAACCTCATGGGATCCTGTGTTATTGCTTTTACAGAGACATAAGATCGTGCGCTTGATCTCACGCAAGTTCATCCCAGGAACCTTTTCATACAGGATCTTATGTGTGAACCTGTACGGGAACCCACATAAGAACTCACAAGAGATCCTGGATGGGATCCCATATGTGTTCTCACATAGGAATTTTCAACAGGGAAAAAGGCAATTATCAATCACTTAAATGAATATTCTCATAAATTCTCTTTTTTTCGGTAATTTACCGCAATTTTCTTTCTTACATTCTCAGGTTTCAATTTTACCGAGAATTTTAAAACACTATCCTCAGGTATTTGTAACAGATAATCTGGGAAGATTTTATTATGCCATAATAGAATAGAGGAACCTTCAGTCACAAAATTTGAAGGAATACCCAAGGTGTTGAGAGGCGGGTTTGAGACAATTATTCTTGGTAGAACTTACTTTTAAGTGTTAGAATAACAAAATTTTTCGTGACAAAGTTTGAGGAGAAATAATATTAAAAGAATATTTTAGAGAATAAAAATTTAGTAGTTAAGGTATTATTTTTGTAGTAACAATTATTTATAAATGGCAATGATTTATTAGGACAGTGTTTCTTTTAACATAACTGAAAAGTTTATTAAATAAACAACGTTTCGATAACAGTCGTTACATTTATCAAGTTTACATAAATAAGTTGCTAAAAATAATACAAGATTTCAAAATTAGTAATACAGTGCAAAAATTATTTATTTTGTTTTAAATATTAAGTGTAGAAAAAGCCGTACTCAATTTAAACAATTGAATACCCGGATCAAATAACTCGACCCACGCTCGGACGAACGCTCTATTACCAGTCAAGTAGCAGTGACAGCCTGTGGGCGACTCACTGCTACCCGACTACCATTAGAGCGTGCGTCCGAGCGTCGGTCGAGTTATTTGATCCGGATATTCAATTGTAAATATATTATTTTCTTTTATTTTGCATTTAAATTAGAGAGGTTATGTTTTTTTATCTCTTTTAATTTTCTTTTTTTACTATAAAATAATATTAACAATTAACATTGTAAAAATACTAAATTAAAATAGATCAAAAACATAACCTCCCTGGCGGATTCGATTTGCGTAATGTCTACTTAACTAAGCGGACTTTAGGTAGACATTAGGTAGACATGTAAAAAAACGTATAAAAAAGCTATTAATCGACTTATTATGATAAAAAAAAGTTGATAAAAGGGTAAATGAATGTTTATAGAGTAAATTCGTACAAAATTTGTAATTAATAAAGCAATAAATAAATAATTAATAATGAATGGAAATGTGCGCGAGGTACCTGATCAGTTCAGCTGTACAATTATTTTCGTGCTATTTTCATCAAAAGAATATAAATTAACTGCAAAAACAATTGATATTTATAAAAAAGTGTAAAATTGATTTAATTTTATTGTTTGCAATACGAATTATTAAATAATAATTAAGTTTTTATCAAATGTGAATAGTGTTGTGAAAACTAATGAGTTACTACATTACCGATCGCATATGATAATAAAAAGTTCTCGATGAGTGTAACAAAAAAGCTGCAATCATGTCCGTAATTTTTGACGAGAAACAATTATGAAATCAATAATTATTTGTATAACTTTATTCTGCATTTTAAAATTCACTTTTTATTTTCTTTCAAAGCAAAAGCTTGGAAGAAAACATGCTCGCACTGTATTGTAAAAACTGGTGGCGCCATCTCTCATATGCGATCGGTAATGTAGTAACTCATTAGTTTTCACAGGTTTTCACAACACTATTCACATTTGATAAAAACTTAATTATTATTTAATAATTCGTATTGCAAACAATAAAATTAAATCAATTTTACACTTTTTTATAAATATCAATTGTTTTTGCAGTTAATTTATATTCTTTTCATGAAAATAGCACGAAAATAATTGTACAGCTGAACTGATCAGGTACCTCGCGCACATTTCCATTCATTATTAATTATTTATTTATTGCTTTATTAATTACAAATTTTGTACGAATTTACTCTATAAACATTAATTTACCCTTTTATCAACTTTTTTTTATCATAATAAGTCGATTAATAGCTTTTTTATACGTTTTTTTACATGTCTACCTAATGTCTACCTAAAGTCCGCTTAGTTAAGTAGACATTACGCAAATCGAATCCGCCAGGGAAAGTACAAAAAAAATGCAAAAAAAACTCTTTTAATTATTTTGATTAAAGCAAAATGAATTTTTTCTTCACACAATATTTCTTTAATTACCCTTTAAAAACTGGAATTAACATATTTTGAAGCGTTTTCAAAAAATTAATAGAATTAGAGCAATTTCAAAATTTTCAATATTTTAATCAATTTTTAGACCCTACTTTAAATCCAAACGTGGAAGAAAGGGAAATTTGCGACTAGTTGAGGAAGCTAAAGAGGGTCTGTTTAACTCTACTTTACTCCTTGTAAATTAGGGCTTAAATTTCGCCTCGGGTAAAGTCAGTTTTTAAGAATTCAAAATTTCGGATCCAATATGGCGGACATCAATAATAAAAATTAGTAGATTTTAATAAAACATAATATATAAGGATTTTTCGTGTCACTTATTATGAAGCTTTAATCAATTTTTAGAAATTAAAAATGTCGGATAAGTATATTTGGGTGGCTGATTATGAATCTATTTTGTAATTAGCGATACCGAAAAGTATGTTTATCTTTTGCTGATTAATGAATTGATACGAATTCCCACTGATATCGGATATTTTTTCTGGTCCCTTTAAATTTAATATACGTAGGTTTAACTGTATTTTAAATATCAATTTAATTTATTTTACAGTCCCAAAGGATGTCCTTGTTAGTCGGGAAAAAAAAGAAGTCCGAAATAGTTGTACATAATAAGTACAAATATTATATATGTACTTCTAATAAAAACACTGCGTACTGCGCCTTAAGATATAAAAAGTGCCATGCGAAAGTCAACCTTGTTCAAGGGAAATGGGTTGAGTACATAAACAATGTTCACAACCATGAACAACCGACAGTTGACTACGAAGCTGTGAAGG